CGCCCACTAGTGGGCGGTAGGGACCAGGTTGACTACCATTGGTCTAGCCAGAAAACCTTTGATGGTTATTACATTCCGTGTGTCTCTGTCTAAAGGCTCTTAAGGCAAGTCCTGGTTATGCTACCTACAACTGCTGTCAATAACAAGTTGAACAAGAAAGGTGGGGGCACTACCCCAACTTACATGGAAAGTAATCCAACTGGACCAGACACACATTTGCCCCCAAGCTTGAAATAGAAAAAGCAGGCTCTCCTTAACTTGTGCAGAGAATCTGTCAAACAGAGGAAACATGACATCACCTTTTAGCAGAAAGGCCAGGCAAAATTAGGAAATGAAAATGAAAATTGTGCACGATAGTAGCACAATATTTGGCTAAATAAACATTCCCTTTAAATTCTTACTCCACATAAGTAAAAAAAAACCTTTACCAGATGGACTTCACATCACGGCAGTAGCAACTTTTGGGGAGATGTTCTCTTCAGTGGTGGGATTCAATTTTTTTTACTAGGTATGTGGGCGTGGCTTGGGTGTGGCATGGCTTGGTGGGCGTGGCAGGGGAAGGATACTATAAAATCCCCATATCCTCCCAAACAGCTGGGACTCAGGAAGCAGAGAATAGATGTGGGCAGGGCCAGTCAGAGGTGGTATTTACCAGTTCTCCGAACTACTCAAAATTCCCAGTACCGGTTCTCCAGAACTGGTCAGAACCTGCTGAATACCATCTCTGGTTCTTCTCCAAGGGTGAAGTTGTTAAGATAGATTTTTATGTCATTGTGAGGTATATAGTGTACTCCGATATTTGGCTCAGATCAAGAGCCACAACGGTGCAAGGGAGAACAGTGCTAGTTGGCCCATTTTTAGGAGCAAGATGTGAGAACATGTAACATCACTCATCACAAAAGATTCAGGTACCAGAAGGAAAAACAATGAGGATGTTTCCAGCATGTCCTTCAACTTCTAGAATAGTAGATACCAGCTATTTTTATTTTTAAAGTTCACCTCTTTCAGGTAGTCCTTGACTTATGACAGGTCACTTAGCGACCATTTAAGTTTAGAAGTATCCCCAAAGGATACTTATGACCTGGATTCAAAGTTCTGACAGTCACCCACCCACCCCAGAGTCATGTGATCACAATTTTGGGCCCTTAGCAACTAGTCCACATTTATGGTCTTTTGCAGTGTCTTGCATTCACATAACCACAATTTACAATGTTTTTTCTGCCGGAAACCAGTGTTTACCTACAGTTTCCAGCTAAAAACACCATTTGAGACAATGGGTTTACTTAATAACCGCATCATTTCCTTTATGACCACTGCAAAAAATGTAAGATTGAGTCAGTCTTGTGCATCACCATAACTTATGACCGCCATGACACACAACAGAAATCCCAGGCTCCATTATGGTCATAAATTGAGGACTACCTGTATTTCTTCTTTTACTTTTGCTCCACAGGAGTATTTCTCAACCTCTGCAGGATTAAGATGTGTGGACTTCAACTCCCAGAATTCCCTAGTCACCATGTTGTTTCCAGAAGTTAAAGTTCAAGTATCTTAAACTTGCAGAGCAGTGGTGGGTTTCAAATTTTTTAGAACCTCTTCTGTAGGTGTGGCCTGCTTTGTGGGAGTGGCTTGCCAGCCATG